ACCGCTGCTACAGAGTCATTAGGGCAGGGGAGACAGACCCTTCGGCCCATCCTCTCCGTGCCGACCCTGATCCCAAGCGAAACCGGTCCCCACGCCAGCCTGCCCTGATCCTGGCCCCTATCCCTCCAAAACCTTTCCTGTCCGCGCACTTGTCCAAATGTCTTTTAAACGTTGTAACTGGACCCACACCCACCACTTCCTCTGGAAGCTCATTCCACACCCTCTGTGTGTGTAAAATAAAAATAGTCTTTTTTGTTTAAAAATCTCGCTCTGCTTAAGAAATGAGTTTTGAAAGCCCCCCCCACTCTGGAGGAAAATACACCCACCTTACACCTTATCTGTACCCCTCGTGATTTTATAAACCGCTAATCAGTTCCCCAACAACCTCCTACACTCCAGTGGGGACGATAAAAGGTCCCAGGCTCTCCCTTATAACTCAGACCTTCCAAACCTGGCCACGTCCTGGTAAATCTCTCCCCTCAGGCCCTGGAACAAGACCTCTTGTACGTTAAGAGTTGGTCTTTCTCTTGTACCTTGCCTGCCTGTAGCCGTGATGCTGTAGCCTGCATTCTGTTCTAATCAGCCTGAAATATTTCGGTGAGGCACGCTGCGTCTGAATAGCAGGCAAAATGATATTTTCCGGGTAGACGTGACGAGAAGGAAGCGCGCCAAAGCCAGTAGCGGGCACAATCGTGGGATTCCGGGTCTGTTTCTGTGCGGGGAAGGGACGCGCAGGTTCGTGGAGGCTAACCACTGTACGTTCTACTCTGTTGCTGACCCCTCCAGTGCCCGCAGCAGGAGCCCAGCCCTCCGATTCAGGAAGAAACAGTCCAGGAGACTCCCGTCCAGTTGGTACGTAGGTCCGGTCAGCCTGGTGCCCTCTCGCGGGTCGCAGGGCGGAGTCCGTTCCCTGCCCGCCACCCTTCCCCCTCTAGAATGCACCAATTATCCCACAATTGGTTGTGATAACTCCAAATACATTCCCCCCTCGATCCGTCTCCCCCTCTGGTTCCTTACCCGTTCCCCCTCGATCCGTCTCCCCCTCTGGTTCCTTACCCCGTTTCCCCTCGATCCG